AGTTTGAAAATAAAAGTTTGAAAATAAAAGTTTAAAAATAAAAGTTTGAAAATAAAAGTTTGAAAATAAAGTTTGAAAATAAAAGTTTAAAAATAAAAGTTTAAAAATAAAAGTTTGAAAATAAAAGTTTAAAAATAAAAGTTTAAAAATAAAAGTTTGAAAATAAAAGTTTAAAAATAAAAGTTTGAAAATAAAAGTTTAAAAATAAAAGTTTAAAAATAAAAGTTTAAAAATAAAAGTTTAAAAATAAAAGTTTGAAAATAAAAGTTTGAAAATAAAAGCTTGTTCCCCAGTTCCGGCGTCCCTGCGTGTTTTATCAGACTTATAAAAGATACTCGGCTTCGCCTATACTATAGTACTTCAAATTTTTGAAGACCATGCGGCATGCATGTCAAGTCCGCGTAATGTAAACAAATCCTTTGTTTATATTTTGGACTGCTATAAATTTGTAAAATAAGACATACTATTAACTAAATATCTAACAGTTTCTGGTTCGCTATTGTAAATGAATATAAACTATAGTATACTGGGAATACGTTTCAATTCAAAACAGTTCGAAAAATGCAAAATTTGGGCAATGTTTATTTCTGTGGGTCCCCCTTTGTTTCATGCTGAACTGATGACTTATGAGCCGTACGAACTTGACAAGGTCTTAAAATTAAACATTAAAAAAATCCAAATATATATATAAAAAAATCAAAAAATCAAAAAATACAAAAATCAAAAAATCAAAAAATCAAAAAATACAAAAACTGTTTTTGTGCTGTCGCGTCTGGGCCACGGTAATTACGGGCGTTCAATTAAGTGCTGATAATATGCTAGACCCGTAAGTACTAAAGTAAGTACTAGGTAAGTACTAAAGTAAGTACTAAAGTAGTACCCGTAAGTACTAAAGTAAGTACTAAAGAAGCTAGACCCGTAAGTACTAAAGTAAGGAACGACCTACAACCACCTACAACCACCTACAACGATCTACAACGACCCTACAACGAGCCTACAACCACCTACAACCACCTGCAACGAGCCTACAACTATCTACAACGACCCTACAACGATCTACAAAGATCTACAACGGCCCTGCAACGATCTACAACGACCCTGCAATGATTTACATAGCGACCCTACAACGACTTACAACGATCTATGTTGAACGTCGCGATGCATGGCGATCATAACCTAAGTATCAGGTAGTTCTATTTTACAAACTTGTAATAGCCTGAGCAAAGTTTATATTCAAAGACTTCAAACTGTCGCAGGAGAAATTTAAATTTCACACAACGACAACAACAATCTAATATAGTAAAATATATCAACAAGAATAGTATAATCTAGATATATAGATAGATAGATAGATAGATAGATAGATAGATAGTTTATTTAAAAAAAAAATTACATAGCAGCCAACCGGCTGAATTGCGTAATTTGAATATTACATGTGTTGGAAATGTCAAAAGTTAAACTATGTAATGATTAATATATATTACAATAAGAATACTCAAACTAGGAACTAAAAAAAGTTAAAATTAGGTCTTAGAGTTGTAAGTTAAATGTTAAAATTACGTCTTTAAAAACTTTTTCGCAAACATTGCTGGGATGAAGGAGTGTCTGAATCTGTCCGTGTGAATTCGTGGAAGATCATACTCATGGTACTTACGAAGATTTAGATTGGGGCCATGTCTTGGCGGTAAAAGACTGAAGAGTTTGTGCGAGGGTACTGAGATTCTTTCAAACTGATAATCGCAGAGTTCCTGACGTCTGTTATGTAAGGTGGTTAAACCGCCAATTGGCCTATATTAGCATCATAGATTTTACTCGGGTCAATGATTGATAACGCTCTCTTTTGTACTCTGTCAATATCAGCACTCAGGTACTGGGGCAATGCGCACCAACCAATCAAATGACAGATTAAAAAATCTTTTTTCTCATAGACAAATCAGATTTACAATCGAAATGCATTTCAGGCATATTTACTTATTTTTAATGCATATTTTCATTGTTTTGAACAGGTTCTTATTTTTAATAAGCGACTACAACGGTCAGTAGCAATTCATTATTGCGGTCAATCAAGTGGAACTGGAGGTCATTATTCTTAAAATAATAACCTCCTTTTCTGCCTCAATGACCCTAATAATAACCTGCTGTTCTATCTCACTGAGATAGAACAAAAAACAATGAAAATATGCATTAAATTGGATAATGCACGAACTCCTCGCTCTGTCATTATTTTTGCGAACAGGCCTGTTCGCAGCTAATGCATTATTCTATATATAGGCACAGAATAAAGACATACAGAAGTGTAACTTCCATTACAAAACCGTAAGGCGCTTTTTTACCGAAATAGC